ATTACATTCCCAATCTCTTACTCTGTGCCAATACGTAAATCTTAACAGTCGTATCTCATCGTTTCATAACCCAATCGATCAAATTGAAATATGTATGCGTAATACGAGTCGAATCTAAAAAATATTCGTACAAAACACTATCACTCAAAAAATGATTCAAAAAAACCTAATTCTAAAACCTAAAGTGTGAAATTAAGATAGATACATTTTTACTCGTATATGTTATCTTATAAGATATCATATAAATGTGTTTCCGTGTGGTGACGGATTAAGAAAAGTCACCCCCCTGTTCATCCCGTGGGTGTCGTAAACTACGCAGGACAACAGCACTGAAAAAAGATGAAAAACTTGACACAAATCCTATACCTACCCATCTGGGCAGCGTGGTATAGTAGACCAAAACCTCCTTTTTAAGGAGAGGCCTTCGTTCAGCAGTGGACTTGTAAAGGCTGTTGATGACGATGATTCATTGTCATTATCTTATAAGATAATTGCATTTAAATCGAAGTAATTTTGTTAACTTCTAAAATAAAAAATCCAAATTTGTAATTTACAAAGTCCTTGATGAATTGGCTGGGAAATCTGTATCGGGTTATTTTGTAATTGTGAGTTTAATAATAAGCGCAGCGTTAATGGCGAAGTACGATTTTCAAGTCTTTTTTGTTTCTATGAGAATTTAGACATTAGACCTGGGATCAAACGCTATAGTGAATTTCAATTAATATTACAACACAATTGATCTTAATAAAAAAATTCATTCACGGGGTACAGAACAATTCATAGGGTATTATTCAGTAAAAAAAAAATTGCACTTGCGTTTTTAGTTGGCCAAAGAAGTGAGGAGGATGAGGATACAATAACCAGTTTTTTTTTTTTCTTGAATACGTATGAAGAAGACAGAGCCTTCAACCATTTCGTGTTTTAATTGAATTCATCGAAACAATGGTCATTTTATCATTTATCACCATTCTGTTTCAAATCTCTTCAGTGTTGTACCTACTATTCGAAGTTTAAATTTAAATAGTATTTGAAAACAGAATGTTACTTTTTGAGCAAAATTGGATGGATCTTAAACTACGCTGGTTTAATTTAATCCAATTATCACTACCTTTACCTGCTCACCTACAGCAGTGGTTGTCACAATTTTCTAACAAGGTTAAAAAATTAAGTTGACTTCATACTCTTTTAGCTGTTATAAAATTATTAACGTTAATGTTATAGATAGTTTACTCATTCATTCATTTAGGAAAATAAACAATCACCTTACTTACTTAACAGAACATTTGTGAGTCCAACAACACTCTCCACAATATATTTTGCCACGGTTTATTTTTAGTTTTAATCAGTAGTTCTAACTTTGAAGAGTTAAAACAGACTCTTTCAGTCTCAAACAGTCGAATGTGCATTGGTGGAGAGGAGAGTACGGAATGGAAAACGCTGTGCACGACCTCTACTGACAACAATGACCTTATAAAGATAGCAGTTCGACAGTAGATTCAGGCATATCTCCAGCAGTGGCTTTCCTATAACTGAAATTATGACTGTTAGCACAGAACCGTATAAATCATATTCTATGCTTGTCACGGAATACAATCCGTTTTGAAGCCTAAACACAAAAATAATTAACTGATGGATAATGCCGTAACGAACATTTTAGTAGCCTTTTCTTTACCAATAAGAATATTTGTCTACGGAAAGTAATATACCTAGACAAGTTTGGGGTACACAACGTCTTAAGTAAGTTTCATAACCCCTGCGATTCTGTCACTTATTTCCTACAGAAGTAATCATAAAATTCAGTAACTAACTGGTAATTCAGTAAATAACTATTAGCTGTATGAAATTAAAAGTTTGGCCTCAACGTAACCCATTTAGATATAAAAACGAAAAGCGTGCCCTTAATGTCACCTGTTTCTATATTTTTCTGGTATTCTTCCTTCATGGGTCAAAGTTTTTACGAGGCGAAATAAACAGTTTGGTATAATCTAAGGTTAGTGCTATTATTATGATAAACTCTTTAATCTAGATATTCTTTGCTTAATAATAATAATATACTCACACATCTCACGCACGTTTGTCTCATCCCAAACTAGGCAGAGTCTGTACTATGGTAACCAGACTGCTGATAAACATACTTGTATATTTATAAAAACATGTATTCTATTGATAAAAAGCACCTAGACACAGAACAAATGATCGTGCTTGTCACACAATTATTTGTCCTGGGTGGGAATCGAACCCACGACCTCCGGCTTAGCAGTCAGGGTCACTAACCACTAGACCAATAGGCCCGTCTTTATTTTATTGTTGATGAAAATGCCACCTTACAGTATGAATGTACATTGTGAAAGCGCAACCGTAACGTAAAGAAACGAATCGAACCCACGACCTCGTAAACAACATTTGTATCTAAAGTTAATAACTTCACTAAATCTGCATCGTCGTCGTGTTCTTCTTCATTTTTTTTAGTAAGTTATCAAAATACCTTTATCTTGATCATGTTAAAAAGAAATTTAATATATAGGTACATCAACTTATTACTTGTAATGCAGTAATTACATAGTGTCAAGTATCGTTATTGCCATAACAACAAAAACTCCGTAAGGACGTGTTTTGTAAAAAAAAACCGTTAGACTTAAAAAAAGTTGTAAGTCATTAATTAAATTATCTCTGAAGTAAATAAGGAATCTCTTAAATGAGGAAAATATTTAACTGAATTCTGCGTTTTTTTTAAATATTTCTTTAGATTTTGATAAATTCGTAAAGGATATTCAGCGTTGTTTGGCTATGTCGTATGTTAGCCCGGTCGTTATAACTTACGCACAAATATATAGAACTCCGATATTATGTTCGTGTATGTAGATAGACATAAATAGATAAGTATATGATCAAATTTAATTAAAATACACAATAATCTATAAAAACTCGTAAAACAGCTCAACATTTTATTCCTACTCTAATTTTACCTTCGAATACTTATGTATGAACAGTTTATCTATAGTGTCTACTTATAATCTCTCATTTTGTATTGAGTATATAACAATTTGGTGCAAATGGGTTTTGCATGATGTGTATGAAATTGTTAGGTACATTAAGTCATAACACAAGTCTAATTAACGCATGTCTCTAAATAAGAATATAAAAGACAACTCCCGCACTAGGGATATATCCTGTGTCTTTACACTTTACAAATATTCATGAAACGGAAACAAAGAACATCCAGAACAACAATTTGTGAAGTGTTGTCCCATATGGGTATCGAACCCACAACACTAAGCGCAGTAGGAAGCGGCGAGGTGACCACTTAAATCACTATGCCATCTTTTCCATCCGTGAATCCGTGAATGATTTTTGTGTATATTTTACATTCAATAAACTTCAATTGTTGGTGAGCCAAAGAAATCAAATAATATCAAAGTTACTACTTCTGTGAAGTACTCAGTCAGAAGAAAGGTCTAACCTTAGCGTCTTTTTATTACTGGGTACGATTAGGGCAAAAAATATATTTATAATGTAAATGAAATGATTGTTATCATTTCAACATGGCCTAATTATAATTTAACGTATCCGTTCCATAATCTATGCTGCTCCGTGTGTATAATAATATATCAAAGTATCAATACAAAGTTTTATTGTTGAAAAAACTATTTTTATTAATATGAGCGGCCTTCTGATGTAACCAAAATTATCTACACTTTAAGTTGTCTACAAAACATTTCTTAAAATACTTAGACCTTTATGTTTTCTTCAAGACTTTTGCAGCACATTTTCACTTTTAATTTGTTGCTTGTTCATATCTTCTTAGTGAATATTCATAGTAAATTAGTGTAATGAAACTCAGCAAAGCCTTAAAAAGAGGCAAAATACTTATCCATCACACATTTTTTCATTGTTGAGATAAATCTGACTACCTCGGTGGCGCAGTAGTAGCGTATGCGACTGCTGTGCTGAGGTCTCGGGTTCGATTAACGAGTCGGACCAAATGATTGTTTAATCTACAAATATTTGTTTCGGGGTTTGGGTGTTTTCTATGTATAATATGTAAGTATTTACAGAAAAAAAGTATATAAGTATTCTATCAGTCAATCTAGCTTTGATTTACTAAAATATTCTAATTAGAAATGCAATAGAAATGAAAATGATGACACTGGTAATTAAGTCAGCCTTTCAGCTATATATTAATTAATATAGACATATAGACAACATACTTTCTCTGTAATTAACAATAACATAAAAATACTAAGTGTTAATCTATTCAAATGGCTACTGTTAAAGATGCGCCATCAAAAAAAACTAGTTATTGATTATTCATAGCATCAAATTGAGTGCTAAAATTAACATATCTTTGTTGTACTGGCTCATAAAAAGCTGATCTCTTTTAACAGAAATCGATTCGTGTGAAATAGAAGAATTAATCAAAAGCGATGCAATTATGTAATCAAGCTTTGAACATGACTTTTACTCGAAAGCCTATTATTGTTAAGAAAGGAAAAAAGTGCATACAGCTGCTCTTCAAGTTTCCAGTCGAGTAGACACTGTTCCCGCTGACTGACGCCAGCGATAAATACCCATGACACAATCATCTCGTCAATAGTTCGGAAAAAATAAAAACAATTTTGTATATATTTTTCTCAATGAGTTTATTGCGCCAGAACAATAAATGAAGCTGATCATAATAACGTTTACTTTCAACATCGATTACGAATACTCTACACGATATCTTGTCGTACGCCGAGTTCATTAATATTTATAATATTCGAGTCCGTATTGCACTTAACTTCACTTACGCCAACTCAACACCCAAGCCATTATCCCTATTAACTTACAGTTCGTGGGATTGATAGTTACGATATATTTGTCTAAATATCACAAGAAAATACAAAAACGAAATACGAAATAGAATTAACACAATTAAAAATATTAACAATTAAATATACAAAGTCTGTGTAGCTTTAAGACGTGACGTATCACCAAGGTGAGCGGGGCTCATGGTGAGGGCGTCATGACACCGGTACATGGTGCTGATACAGTTGTTCTTGGCGTTCACATAGTGACGTCATCTTTTTGAATGATTCTGAGCTCTCACGAAAAAGCAGGTTAGCATCGTCCCGAGGGCGTGCGTGTGCCGCGTCCAGCCGTCCCGGAGAGATTACCGGAGGCGAAGACGCAGACAATGGTGACAGAGACTCTCGAACCGATTGTGCACCTGCTGCAGCACCGTACGGCCCACCAGCTGGAGGCATGCCATTACCCATCAGAAATGGCGTCGGAAAAAACCCTCGATCACCGAATTGTGGGAAAAACCCCGCTTGCAACGCACTCAAGTTCCGACTGTAAAATTTCATTGTTTCGGTTACATAGCTAGGAAGTGGTGTGGCCTCTTCATTACGTCCGTACCGTAGACTTTCTAGTGTTGATGCCAGGCCCTTGATATCCGAATACAGTTTATTTAGAAGTTCAGCATTTACCTCAAAATCAGGTTTTTGCTCCCGTCCTTCCGGAGAGCCTGTTGACAACAGCCGTCTATGTAGGTCTACATTCGAACTGTGTCTATCTCGACTGCGCCGAGAAGGGAAGGCAGCGTCACAACCATTTACTTCACAGGGGTGGAGCAATTTTAAATGATCGTTTCTGTAATGCATACGCAATGTGAAATGGTTCTGAAATATTTTTCCACAAGCAGTACACCGATCGGGGTTCTCGTCGTCTATAGGAATTTCTAGGTCATTGATATCTGACTTATCATCCGTTCTGTCGCTGCTAGCTGACGGTGACCGCGCTCTTGCTAACCGTTCTTCTAGCACATGTAAATCACTTCCGCTGTCGCTCGGTGTATAGAGATCGGATCGTAATCTCAAACCTTCGCGGACTACACTAGGGGCACTTGATTCATCGTCCGATTCACTTTCAGCTTTAACTCGTGTGACTGATTCCGAATCCACAGTAGCTTCCTCACGGTTCTGAAAGGACTCTATATTTTCAGGCTTTTGTTTTTTTAACGACAACGGTTCTTCTTCAGCTCGACTCGAGCCGGGAGTCGACAAGTTTCTAAATAAATCTGCGTGGTACTCCTCGTCGGATACATTATATTCGTTGTTTTGTGAACACCGCGTGGGGTTGCCGCTCTTTCTCTTACGTTTATTAGGAACGAGTGACGACGTCTTATCGTCCGAAGCGGTGGGGTCAGTACGGCTTACACTATTAGATTTTACAGCATCGGGTTTGGTATCTTCTTTGTTTTTATTTACACTCAAATCCTCTGGCTCATCTTCATAATTTAACCTGTGAACTACCGGAGATTCAGTCCGCTCACCAGAATTATCTTTGTGCTCATCTTCAGAAACATCATCGTTAATTTCACTATAATTATTAGACTCATCTTCGTCTACATTAAGAGGTTTAGCTAGATTTAAAGCATTGCGTGAAGGTTCGTCATGATGCGGTAATTTTCTATACATTTTCTCAATTTCACTGAAGTTGCAGAGATCATCGAGAGGCACACGCGGTGGCAAAGGAGTTGGTCCTGGAGCCCCGTTCATTGGTGGTGGCAATCGAGCTAACTCAGGTGGTAAAAGTCCCGGTGGAGGAATTGGCAATCTCGCTAAAGCAGGGAGCAGTGGGAAAGGCTGAGCTGACCGACCGTCGTGTGCTGAAATCTTGCGTCTCACATGCGGCGAGTGTAGTTTAGGATTTGGGTTAGCACTGTGGCGATTTCTTGATCTTCGGGAACTAAACATCATAGTGCATCCTTCCACTGTACACTTGTGCATTTCTCGTAGGTGAACCGCGGAAAAATGAATTTTTAGGGCTCCTTTATCGCAAAAAGTCTTGAGACAAACATTGCACTGTACTCTTTTCTTGCCGGTCGCAGGGTTGACGAACTGTACACCGAGGCCGAGAGGCCAGGGCGCCGGCGGCGGGTCGCGCCTGTCAGGCAGATACTCGGGTGACCGTCGATCCTCACTCTTGTCGTCATCTCGGCCGCTGAAGCTAGCGCCAAGCTTACGAAAGTCAAACTGAGGCGCGGGCTGACATATTCTTGGCATCATAAAATAGTCCAGGCCAGCCGGCAAGCCGGGAACAACACCGAACTCTTTGCCTTCCATCACGTCACTGACATAATATAGCGCGCGTAGTGCGAAGCGGGTGGCGCGCGACGCGGCCGCTTTGCGACTGAGGACCTGCGACACAGGTGACCGCGCGCGGGCGGCGCGCGACAAAGGCCAGCGGTGCGGGGGTGTGAGGGCGGTGCGGCGGGCGGGCGCGGAGCGAGGGACGCGAGGGACGGCGGCCGCAGGTGGGAGGAGCGAGCGCTGGGCGGAGCGGATCGATGCTCGGTGGGGACACGCGACACTCGCGCTCGCACCGACCACTGTAAACAGTAGAGAACTAAAGCATCGCATGCCGTTACGTAACTAGACACATACGCCACTCAGTGTATTGCACATAACCATACCGCTCGCTAAGTTCCGCGTATAAAATTAGACTACATGTGGAGTACGCCAACATTCATTAAAATGTTTATTGATTGAGTAGTCTTTACCTTAAGATCCGGAATGCTGACTTGTAATTCACATATTGTGCTCACATATTCAGAATATTGGCGAAACTTGTCACAATGTATGAGGAATATCATTTTGCCCGTCTCAAACAACTAGCGTATACTACTAAAGAAATAAGTCAACTATCTTAAAGAAATACACTCTAAAAGTTAATGTCACCGAAAAAAAACCTTGTACTCGTACAGTTACGTAAAAATTGAAAAATGGTGGGATAGAATTAAAAGTTAAAATGATAGCGTTGGTCTTCTTGAATCAGATCATTTGAAAAGGATCCAAGAGTAATAAAGAGATACTGCAATAAACAATAAAAAGTAATAAAGTGATACCCTTCGTAAGAGAAATATGTTTATTGCGCCATTATATCCACCTATGTTTGTTGCACTATGAGGCATGTTAATTCTACACAAACAACAATGTTTAGGTAAAGGAGGGATTAGAGCTGTGTGTGACACTGGAGTATTGGAAAATATTTTCGAGACCAGATATGACTGACTGATGGCAATAATACACAAACTATATGCCGACTCAGGAATCGAATCTAAAACCGCGGCAGCACTCTTTTGCACTGTAAACCCATCTACTATTTTCACTGTACTTTTCTACATTTTAAGGTCTTACAGCCTTGTCAATGCTATATTAAAATTCTCTATTAAAAACTAATAAATTAATGATGCCTCATGCTGTGAGCTAGCAAATGTTTTTTTTTAAGACAACTCCCGCTCTAGAAATAAATCCTTTGTCGCGGAGGACTTTACAAACATACATTAAACGGACACAAAGACTCAGAACAAAATTTGTGAATGACACAAAGTGTTGTTCCATGTGAGGATCGGACCCACAACACTCATTGCAGTAGGAAGCGGCGAGGTGACAGCTTAAACCACTACGCCATCCGTGCAGTCGGTCGGTATTAACTCTTCAATTTCTGTTAAAATTGTTTTCTAAATGTAGGTAGGTATATTAGAATACGAATGTGATATGTTTATTACTTTACAACCTAACTAATAAACACGCATTTTTGCACACACTTTAAGATAGAAATAACAACGTATTTTGGATGACATGGTAGGTAGGTACCTACTTACCTTCAAAAAGAACAATGCTCGTCAGTCTTCAGTCAGAAAAAACCCTACTGTCCCCGAGATCCACCTCAATCGAAGCCTCTTCGCTTGCAGAGAAGCCACATGCCAACTAATGTACTAAGATAATTCGTGTGATAAAAAAAATGATGGTTTCTCTCACACACCCGCTTGAAATCCATTTAGTGTTTGAGCCTGCTCACGAACCTGAAATTAACGGAAGACCGGGTACTATGTAAGGGATTCTGATTGTTTAATTGATTTAATTATGGTGACACATATGTCTAAAGGGTTCTCGAACATTCGTTTGTCTTGAAAGGTATTAGTTTTAAAAAAAAAAAATTTTTAATTTACCTAAGCAATAATTTTAGCTATAATGCATTTGTATTATATATTTTAGAGTGTTTGACTTTTTCTAATAAGCCAAGATGTGTTAAGAAGTTAATGTAGGTACCTACTTGTTCTTTACATTGTCAAATTTATTCATTGGTATAATTCTGCACATATGAGGAAATTGTTTCGACACTGTCATTTTTTTAAATCACTATTTCAAACTCAATACATATATAATAATAACAATTAATGACTAATATACATTTTTACGACGCTACGTAATTCTACGTACATAACTCTTATCAATTCATAATAATATACTATATACATAATATACTATTATAAAAACAAAAATGTTAACAAACAATAGCTAAAGAATATATTTTCTCATAAAGAAATTTACACTTACATGGGAATACGTTTTTTAGTTGCATACACATATAACATATTATAAACTTCATCACTTACACATTTAAATATTGTGTAAATTACTTTAAACAATTAAAAATTTTAGGCCAAAACCTCCTTTCTAAGGAGGGGCCTATGTCCAGCAGTGGACGATTGAAGTCTGTTGATGAAATTACAATATTAAGGGGTACATTAACGTTTTGATACTTATGACTAATATATGTGGGTACTCCAATAATCCATAACCTAAGGATACAAATATGAGTAGGTAAAGGTACCCTCGCATAGATATGAATAATGCGGACTCGTAGTGACAATGCAGATAAAGAAGACAGTAATACTACTAGTAGCTTTTTTTTCGTTTATATGTAATAAAGTGATCGTTATATGTTGTGTATTACTCTCTTAATTTTGTTAATATTAAAAGAAATAACACATCAATTTCAATCATTTAAAAATACCACAGACAGAAGAAATCGGATACTAAGACTTAATCTACTCAATGGTTATATACCACTAACGCCATCTATGACTGCTGTTACAAAACACACGCCATCAATGAAAATCTTCAAACGAGCTGCGCGTGCCTCGTAGTTCTATTTTTATTTAAGACATCTCTAATCGAATTTAAGAAAAAGCAAAACGTAGTGGTTGCATTAAAAAAGTACCTTTTATGTATTTTGGTCGATTTAAATTCTAATCTCGTGTTTACGTTTAACCAACAAAACACTTACTAAAGTATATTGTGTTCAGATGCGGTGACTTTGAAGTCTTATGTGGAATGTTTAATGCATTTAACAGGTTATTATTCAAAGCTAATATATTATGTAGGTATTTGTTTTATGATTATATGTTAGTACATAATTTTATTTACCTCAGGTTAACTTTTTAATTGACTTAATAAAGCGAAGGTTCTTAATTCGGTTCTTTTCTTATATTTGTGACCTCAGATTTGGTTCGGCTAGTTACAAAAGCGTGCTTTTAAGTTTTTTTAAACTATAATTTATTGAATTAGCCAAGTAGCTAAAGCGTCACATTTCGGTAAGTTGCAACTGTTGATTATGTTAGCTGTATTATATATGATACAATATTTACATGCAAGTATCAAAAATAATCCTCCGCAGTTTCGCCTACTGGTAGCGTTCCCTGAAGACTGACAACACTATTTTTTTGTGCCAGAAAAAGCATTGACCTTCTTGATCACGGGAAGTATCGATCAGTTGCTTAGCTAGTTGTTTATACTTAGTACGAGCACTCGGACCTCATGACCCTACCGTCTCAACCCCAAACGGTTCAAAAATGTAATTCTAGTTTTAGTATTTACGCCGTTTGAAGCTTTCTGCGGATGCAGCAGCAACTCATAACCTCCTATACTCGTAATATATAATAACCTATATATAATTGTTGATTATAATGATCGGCCGAACATATGAGTGCTAATCCTTAACAATGCAATATCTCAATGAACAAATTATAACCGGATAACTGATTCTTCTGTTCCATGAGTGTTTAGTTTAAGCACCTAATTCATAATCAAAAATTCAATAAATACCAGATCACTTTATTAAAAATCTGATCAAATAATTTTGATATAAAATTGACAAATTCAAAAAAAAGAATTTGAACGTGGCCTCAATTCCCAGTTTGTCTATTTCTAAAATACCTATAGAATTTATAAAAGAAACAGATTCTACGAAAAGCTAGAATAATGTTACAACTACTTTTTGTACCTAGTTCAGTTTTCAGTTAGACTATATATTTTAAACAACAAATACATAAAAACAAGATTCTACAAATACCCAGACTATTAAACAGCGAATTCCAGTTTACAACCCAAACAAATCGAACACAAAACTCGAAAGCTCATTTAGAAGTGATAACAGTCAGTGTGTGTTCTATAATCTGGTCTGCATCTATTAACACTCGAGGATTAATCTTGTTCTATCAAACGTAATTCGTCCAACTACATTACTTTCCTCGTGCACTCGTGTTCTTCTGACCAAATCTTTCCACTAGAAGTTATATTATATCCCCTAGAAAATATATGACGGGAATACCTCTGCGTGCCCGATAAATGGCCCTCATCAACAGCCTTTATTAGTCCATTGCAAAGGAGGTTTAGGCCTCACACTGGCCAGATGGGTTGGTATAGGGTTTGTTTCAAGTTTTAATTCTCTTTGCAGTTCTGTTGACCTGCGCATTTTGCTCCCTTAGTCGGCTCTTACGACACCCACGGAGTTATTAGGGATGGTGACACTCCGTATTCTCACCATGCAACTAGATATAAGCGTATGTAAAATAACATGAATAGTAACACTGAAGTTTTCATTCTTATAAAAATATTTAGGCCAAGGTGATGAAAACACGGAGCCTATTATTACGTTCCGTTTTGAAACAAATCAACATTCGAAACATGGAATCAAAACTCCGCAGCTCATTCACAAGAGATAACAGAGAGCTTATGTTTTATCATCCGGTCGGTATCGTATCGCACGAAGAGATTATTCTTGATCTCGGAAACAGTTACAATACCGACTATCGTTCTGCGCGAGCTGCGTAAACATCACTGTTTCGGTGATTGGTCTAAGTATTAAGAGTAGGTCTCTTAATTGCTTTTTTGGTGTTATTACGTATGCATTTATTGAAATCAGCAATTCAGCAGCCATTTTGGGTGTTCTCATCCCAATGGTAACTGAACCACATAGCCCTTTTTTTTGTTTTAGACTTTAAAAAATGCTTAAAAATGTGTAATATTTAATTGAAATATGTATTATGTTAGACAGATATCAATACGTATGCAGGTGGTGCGAGCGCTGCTCTTTAAAAGTATCACCACCTTATAGCACAAAGACATCATTACTTCTAGATAAAACTGAAGTTTTACACCACCAGACCATAAATTGATACTGTATTAAGAGGTGTAATCAACACATAAATATAAAAACGCTATTATCTTGCGTCTTAAAGCACATTACAGTCACCCATATTATACTCCCCGTTCCGCGGTACGTAACATAAACG